GCTGGCGGGAAAGTGTTCTGGACCTGGAGGGCAGGCGGGGAGCACACCGTGGAGGCTGGAAACAAAGGAACCAGCCTCTGCTGTTTCCTCCCGGAGACCCCGCCTTCTCGGTGCCTCCTGCTGCACGGTGTGCACAAGCACACGTGCCAGACCTGAAGAGGCGCTGCACCACTGGGCCCGAGGGCCTGACCGCAGTGCACCCTGGGAGGTGCCACGGCAGCGAACACCCTGCAGCTTCTGTCTGTGTCTGCAGGTCTCTCAGTCCTGCTCTGTTCCGCCTCAGAGCTCATCTCCTAGCTGTCCTCAGAAATGCAAAAAGGACGGTTAATAATTAATAGGGCAGAGCCTCTGTCTGCATTATTAAGGGCCTGATGCTGGGCCAGCACTGCCGGGAGGAGCTGGAAGGAACGGATCCTGCAGCTGCCAGGGCGTCCTCTTGATGTCCTCTGATCCGCCTGGCCTGGAAACAGGGGCAGCCGGTAGATGCCGAGCTCCATCCAGGAACAGCCAGGGCTGGTCGCATGGTGCGCACAGAGGGCTGTCCCTGCTTCCTGACCCTGCCCATCCGCTGGCCACTGGTCTGGGCCCTCAGCAAAGCCCAAGGCTTCTTCCTGCAAAAACCACCCTCAGCGGGTAACTGCCATCCTGGTGATCCTGGGATCATGTCTATCGGTAGACTGCACCACACTCGGGGTAGGAGCCCGCCCAGCTTCCTCGAGCAGATGACCCAATGAGGCTTACAAGGTTGGCCCCAAAGACACAATGCTAATCAGGCATTTCATCGGATCTGGAATGCATAGTATATTTTCTGTGTGTGAACAAGGATGGGTTAAATTCAGCTGGGGGATGTCTTTTTAAAGGTATGTAAAATAAACATCTCCTAATTAATGGAATTAACTAAAACCAATTGAGAGTTAGAACATTTTGCTCCTTTCTTTCATTCCTCTCTGGCCTTCATGCATTAGGAAAGAAAGGAAAGAGTGAGACCCCGCCCAGACAAGGGCTCCCCTCTTTTCTTTCTGTGTCTTGAGCACCTTACACAGGAGTCCAGCCACTTCACAGGGAAGAAAGGGCCTGGGGCGGTAGCAACGCTGGACTGAATGAGGCTGCATCGTGTCCGTTGCTCTGTGCTCCAGGGTGTTTCCTAGGCAGTTGCAGTAGTTGCAAACCCCAGGCTGTGTGAAAATGCACACCTCCCTCTGCCACCTGGGCCTCTCCCAGCTCTTTCTGGCTGTCTCTCAGTGGTGAGCTCCTCGCAGGCAGGCGCTTTGTCTTTTCCGGTCCCTTAACAAGCCTAGAAGAAAACCAATCCTTGCACCTAGAGGAAGAAAGCTTTCCTCTGCCTTCATTCCCAGCATTTCCCCAATGCACTCGGCCGGCTCAAGCACGTTCTTCTTCACGAAGTGTGAGGCATGGGTTGGTGGGGGTGCTTCAGAATACCAGCGTCAAACTCAGCCAGGACTTCAAGTCTGCAGCGGCCCTGCCCAGCTTCCTGCACCACTGTGAGGTCGCCCTGCTGGTTGTCACTCCTCCCCATGCCACCACAGAGGCCCTTGGTGGTGACCCAGGCACCAGACTCTCTTTGCAGGCACAGAGGAAATAAACAAGGGTGATCCCAGAGGAGCCACTGCTTCCCCTAGAAGGCGCAGAGTAATGAGCAGATCAGGGTCACAGCCTCATGCCGGAGGGGGTGCTGTGTGGGGTCTGCAGCTCCAGCTCCTCGTGGGACAGCAGCAGGCCCCAGACTCAAGCACCCTGAAGTCCTCTTCCACCTGTGACCCCAGAGCTCCTGAGTGTCCGAATGCACCAAGTGAGGGTGGCACTGTCCTCACAGGCTGCTGCAGCATGGAAAGAGGAAGCAGGCTGCCTGCAGGGGAGGCCTTGGCAACACGCCAGTCCACGGCTTACATCCCAGGGGAGCCAAACAGCATGAGGGGGGAGACAGCTGCTAGGCCCGCAGAGCCCTCACTTCCCGGCCTGGGTCTCTGCCCAAACCCTCTGACTCCATCCTGCCTGGCAGCTAAAGTGGCCGCCTGGCTCCTTCCAAGGGCTCTCAGCCTGAGCCCTATCGATTGTCAGACACTTTGAACGATGCAGTTAAGACAGGAGGGGAGAAAACACAGCAGCCATCCAGAAATAATTAGGAGGAAAGAAAGAATCCCCAAATCCATCTCCTCTAACTCACCCAGCCAACTCTCTCCATGCCTGCTGCCTCCACGGCTTTCTGTCTCTTCTCCCTACACACACACACACACACACACACACACACACACACATGCACACACTGCCCAAAAACATACATTTCAAAATCAAGTTATCAGGTTAGTGACTGTATTTAACCTGGATTCCAGCTGTGTTTTGGAAGGAGTCTGGGGTCCAAGGAGATTCTCAATAATGCCTCAGACAGGGTCAGTGGTTGCAGAATGCAAACCACTGCTTACTCCTTACCTTGATTCCCCTTGCTCTCCTAAACCTGGTTTTGTGTGTGTGTGTGTGTGTGTGTGTGTGTGTGTGTGTGTGTGCGCACAAATGCATGTGTGCACGAGAAGCCCTGTATGAGGATCCTGGACAGCACCAGAGATACCAGCATCTAGTTTTCAGTAGGCCCTGTATTAGTCACTTTCCTGTTGTTGAGACACAATACCAGACACCACAATTCAAAGAAGAGGAGGTTAATCTGGCTCATGGTTTTGGTAGGTTCAGTCCATGGTCAGCAGCTCCAAGGCAGGAACATCCTGGCAGAAGCACGTGGTGGAGAGATGCTGTTCAACCCATGGCAGCTAGAAAGTAGAGTGAGAAAGGAGGAGCTGGGAACAAGGATTTACCCTTCCAGGTCTCACCCCAGGGACCACCTCCAACCAAGCCCCACCTCCTACAGCACATTCAGCCCTGAACCCCTCCGTGATGGATCCACTGAAAGTCCAGTGTACGGTAATTCAATCACTTTGCAAACTTGTGACATTTGGGGAAATTTCAGATCTAAACCATAACTGTTCTACGCTCCAGATGCCACCAAGGGCTCAGGATCGTCTATGAGGGCCACATTCCAGCTAGATCCCCCCACCCCAGTTCCAAGACTCCCTCCCACACCAAGTGGAAATGCTGGCTCTTTTGTTATTTCTGTGCATCTGTGAGGCATGGGGGATATAAAGTGGGTTGTTGGTCAGAACTGGAAAGAAGCTTAGAAGCTACAGAGCACATGGCATCTTCACATTCTTCCTGAGCATGTGGCCCTGGAGGTTAGGATGGAAGAAGAAGGAGAACGCGGATGTGAGGAGAGTGGGGACAGGCTCCACCCTTCCAGATCTCCTTCCCTCTGGGACGGAGGTTCCTTCACTCACCACCGAGGTCTGCATGTTGAAAATAGCCCTGCCTCCCTTCCTCTTCCCAAGTGCAAGCTTCCTCGCTGACATTCCATGGCTAGTTCCTTATCAAGCTTTCCGTTTCCTTGTAGCCAGAGGGCAGCAGGAGCCAGAAGAAGCCAGAAGTTTTACACACGTGAGGCTTTGGGAAGGGGATTGATTACAGGTGCACTGCAGCTGATTTGCTATTTGGAGGTGGGGCCTTGTGGGAGGTGGGTGATTAGCACTGTGAGGTAAGGGTTCATTGCCCTCGCCAGATCCTCCCTTCTCTCTCTGCTTCCTGCTTACCATGAGGTGAGCAGCTGTCCTTTGCCAGACCCTTCCACCATGCCCTTCTTCTATTAGAACCAGCTGCCTCTGGATTGAAATCAGAACCAAAATAAACTTCTCCTTTTTGTGGGTGTTGGGTATTGGGTCTCAACAGCAAGGAAGGTGACTAAGACAGGCTCCCTCCCCTCATAATTTTGGATGAGAAGGAAAGAAAACAGGAGGCCACAGCTACAGGCTGTGGACCGATCTCGGATAAGATGACAATATCTAGGGCCATGAGAGGCCAGAGGAGGAGACAGGTCTCAGCAGAAGCCATTTCTTAGGACACATGCAGAGAGGCTGGAAGGCAAGGCTGGAGAGGCATGTCAGGAAACCCCAGCCACTCTAGAAACATGAAGATGTCACACCACCTGGCAGAGGGACCACAGGTGTGACCTAGATCAGGATCCTGGAATACAAGAAGTAACCAGGGGATCTCCAGCCAGCCTATGGCCACCCAGAGTGAACAAGATAAGGATCTAAACATGTACTAGAGGATATGGAGTTCTCCAGGGGGGCCCAGGGCCACACAGGGTAACCAAGTGAAAGTCCTGAGTTAGCCCAGGATTACCCAGTAGGGCCTCACAGGGTGACCAAGCGGAGGATCCTGAGATGCAGAATATGACCTGGGGTCACAGACTGAGGTGTATGGTCAGTTTGAGGGACCCTAAATAAATAAAAGGTAAGAAAAGCCCCACCACCCCAGCCTCAGCTCTGTCAACTGCCAGAGCTGCCCACTGGTGGGTCCTGGCCAGGAACCATAAGGCAAAGAGTCCTCAGACACAGGCACCATGGAGGGGAGAGTAGGCCTGGATCTAGAGAACAGGGCTCATGGAAGGAGAGAAGGGAAAGCAACATGCAGAGAGGAGAAGGCAGCAGATTTCTGCATACAGACCAAAGGAGGCATTGGATTGAAGTGTTCACCATACCTCTCGCATGTCAGCGTGGGAGAGTCACGGCTGTGCTAGTCACCTAGAGTGACCTGCTAGTCATGCTTCCCTTACTGATCCCTCTCTGGGGGCATCAAGGAGACCCAGGCCTTCCACAGACCCCAGTGGCTGCCTCCACCTGCGCCACCTCTTGCCTTCAGAACAGTGGAGTTGACTACTTCCTGTAAAGCAGCTCCAGGAATCTGCACAGGGTTCCTTGCAAAATGACTTGCTACCTGATCTAAGAGCTGGGGCCAGCCGGGGAACATCTGACCCTGTAGGAGGCCTGAGGAGGTGTGAACTAGCCAAGGGGTCAGCACTTGCACGATCGGCCCCCAGAGGAAAAGAGGTATGTGAGGGCCTTTCCCAGCCACAGTTCCTAGGAAATCCAGAGGTCTGTGTTCTAGGCTCGTCTCTGCCTCCTTGTGTGGCCTTGGTCGAGTTTCTGGATCTCACATCTCTGGTCATGGCTGGGTCCGTGGTGAGCACTGAACATTTTTTTGAGGAAAGGACAAATGCAGAGATCTGGAGAGGAGAAAAGGCTTCTCACGGGTGGGGCACCAGAAAGAAAGGTATTAGTAGGAAATCAACCCCCACACTTGCATTCACGCACTCCTTTGCACACACGTGCACACGCATGCACATGGCCCTCCAGGGCTTTCCCCACTGTTATCCCACCCCATCCTTTATGCAGCCTGCAACCCCGCCAGTTACTTATGTTCACAGATGTGATCCCAACCAACTCACCTGCGTTTGTCCTGTCAGGAGAGAATGGCTCGGGGACCCCAAGGCACTCCATGGGACAGGGGAAGCTTTTAGACAACCTCATCTGCATGATCGGCGTGCTGCAGCTATGGGAGATGAATGTCGCCCCTCTTCTCCCCCACATCTCCTGTTCAGGCAGCATCCAGCCTCCTGCTCTTATCAGGAAGGAAAGGGGCGACATCAGCAAGCCCCCCATCTCTCTCTTGCTCTTTCTCTCCCCCCAAAGGTTCGTTGCCTGCATAATTGAAACCAAGGGAACAAAAACACACAAAAGCAAGTGGCACAGATGTTTTCATCACAGGTACCTCAAATAACTCCAAAGGGCCCTCACAAGCAGCGCCCGTGAATATATTTCATGCCTGGCTCGCTGAGAATTAGCATTGGAAATCATCGCCGTGAACACAGGGAGCTGATGAATTTCAATCCAGCCCAGAAAGCAGCCACTTCTGTTGCCTTTGTCAGCCCACAGTCACATCACTGCCGATATCTTTGCAAGACCAGCAGAAGCCGACGTGTCACTTTTGACACAGCAGCTTGTCCCTTTTCACTGCTCAGCTGACAGCGAGCCTGGTGCCTGCCTGTTGCTCGGCGCTGAACAGAGACCCAGGTGCCCAGACTTGAATCTCTGGGCCTCTCTGGGAGATGTCAGCCCAGCTCTGTGTCTTGGATGGCAGAGCTGCTGGACCAATTGATCTGCCTGCCAGCCGCACCGGCATCCGGGAGGGGAGATGGCAGGGAACATCCGGGGTGAGCTGAAGCATCTTTCAAAGGAGAGTCACAGCGATTCTGGGAAGAAAGAAAGCCATGCAGGGGCTGGGCTTTGCCAAGAGTCAGATTTCACCTCCCCTTGCTCAGCCTGGAGTCGCAGGTACACCTGGGGAAACTGGAACCGTGTCATGACGCTGTGACCTCCTGTAGGACCGTTTTCCCCCTCACGCATACTTTCACATGCTAATTTACTTGCCATTTTTAATCACACTCAGGAAAGCTCTGCAGAGAGGGAGGAAAAATACCCACAAAGAAGGGCACGGCTGTCTTTTCCCTGTCAGTCTTCTGTGAGCTACAATTAGGGAAAGGGAAAATCCCCTCCTCTTCTGGGGCAAGCTCTGCAAAAAATGCTGAGCTGCCCAAAACTGAACAAATACAAACCGTGCCCTAGGGACACTGGGGCAAAGGTGCAGAAGCAGGGACACCTGCCCTCAGGGGCTTGCTGAGCACAGAGACAGAGACATGCTCATGCAGACTCGGGGTGCATGAAATGTATGTGCGAGCGTGTGCACCTGTGCCTGCTCCCTAAGGCTGCACACAGGCACAGGTGCACACATGGCATGGGAATGGGATTTGGGATTAGAACCAGGACCCCAGTGTCTTCCTCTGAGCAGCCTGGAGTGTATTTCAGCCTTTGTGAGCTCCAGAGCTCTTCTACACAATCAAGACAATGCACCAACTTTGCCCAGGGCTGTGGAGAACCACAAGCGCTGCAGGAGCCAGGAATGTGTGCCCTCCTGTCATTCACCCCGGACCCTCACGCCTGGGCACCCTGCTGCTTTACCACCCAGGGCTCAGGGGAAGGTGATGCTTGGGATGGCTGAGCATTGCTTCCTGTCTCCCCTGTGTGGATTATTCCATTAACTCTCCCCAGAGCCCTCTGGGGCTCTGCAGTCCAGTCTCTACTTTACAGGTGCGGAAGGTGACGCTTGGAGGAAAGAGGGGACTTCTTCCAGGCACAGTGGCACACACCTGTAATCCCAGCACTCTAGAAGGCTTAGGCAGTAGGATAGTGACCTGCAGCCCAGCCTGAGCATAGCAACTTAGCAAGACCCCATCTCAAAATTTAAAAATGTAAAAGGCTGGGGATGCAGCTCAGTGTGAAGGTGCTGGGTTCAACCCCCAGTGATGCCCAACTTAAGAAAGGTTACTTGAGCCAGGGATTTGGCTCAGTGGTTCCACCACCTGCCTCACAAGTGCAACGGCCCAAGTTTGAACCCCAGTACAAAAAAAAAAAAGAAGAAAGGTGACTTGGTCAGATTCTAGTGGTTTCAGCAGCAACCAGAGTCATTCCAGCTTACACCAACAGTGGCAGGTCGCCATGGGTGGGACTCAGCTGTGCTGATGTCTGGACCCCAGGGTGGCCCACCCTCCCCTGGCTCTGCCTGTGAGGCAGACTATAAGGAACAAGTCCACAGGGTCTCTGCATCGTGGCCACCTAAGCCCCTGCCTGACCCTCCAACCCCAATAACTGGTTTCTTCTATTCTCCAGGTCGGGGAGTGGTGTCCGACCACCTGCCTTGATCTGCCCTGTTGTTTCTAAGCAACCATAACCACCTCCAATGACACATAAAATACCCTCCCCTCCACATGCACTCCTTTGCAAAGAGATCCTGGACCAAATACAGCAGTGAAGATTTAACTCTGTGTGCTGTGTGTTCTGTTGGGCACAGGGACACGAGGATGCTGGGCATGGGGTGTCCTCCTGGCTGTGGGGCACCAGATGCATCGTAGGTGGGTCTTGTGCCCTCCAAGGGCCTTGGTCCAGGGTGGTGAGGGTTGACCAGATGTCCTTCAGATGAGCTGGCCAGCATCCTGCCTTCTGATGTTCAGTGTGATCTTCAGAGTAAAGAGGGCCCTTCCATGTCCTCCTGAGTCCCCTTCACTTTGTGCTTGCTCAGCAGAACCCAGGAAACCTCTGTTCCCTGTCTGCTCCTACAGGATTTGGTCAGGGAAACCCCGGAATTCTGCACGGTCAGTGACACCTCTGTTCCCTGGGCTCAGGGCACAGCACCACCATGATTTACTGAGCTGCTGCATCCAGCCTGTGGTCCCCTGTGCTCATGCGAAGGGACCTGACAGCCCCTTGGGCCCCTCTTGGTTTCTCTGGGACATGCTGTGTGTCCTGGAGGAGCCTGGCCCTGCACCACCCAGGGGCTTCCTTGATAAGCTGGCATTTCTACTGAGAAACAGACGTGGAGAAAAGGACTTTCTGTGTCCTTTTTCTGTGTCCTCTCCTGCTGAAAGTAGCTGTATATTTCCCTTGAGCCGTGCTTGAGGAATTCAAGTAGAATTTGGGACCAGGAGGCGGCCAGCATGAAAGTTGCTTCTGTTCTGCTGTTGTTAAGGAGAAGGGTGAGGGTCAAAGAGGACAGGGCTGGAGGGCTTCACTGCTCTGTGTGAAGGGAGTTTCTTCAAGTTCACTGATAGCACAGGACACTCACATCCCTGCCAGAGACAGGAACAAGAGGCCTCATCAAATAAAAGTTTACTTTTTAATTTGGGTTTTTCTTTTCTAGTCCATGAGTGCACGCCTCGTGGGGAGGTGGCACATAACACAGCTTAATTCTTTTTTCCCCTTTTCTTCCCCTTTTCCCCTTTCTCCTTCTGTTGGTCCCAAGAAATGTTTTGAAGGGAGTGAGTGAGCTGTCAGGTAACTGCTTGGGGTCCTACATGGGCAGGACCGGCATCACCAATGGGTGGGGCAGGAAACGTTCTCTTTGTGCAGCAGGTCCCTGAGACCCTTTCTGATGCTCGGAGCTGTTTCGCATCTCACATAGGCCCAGAAAAAGATCCTTTCTGACAAAGGCTATGAGACCTCTGTCTTCAAACTCTCACGGTCCATGAGCTCTGGACAGTCACTCTAACAGCACAAATTACCTTTCTCATTATAAGAATGAGCAGTCTCCTCTCTTGGAAGCCATTGTAATTCCCAGCAGTCATCCTGCCTCGGGTGACACCTGAGCCCCACCGCTCAGCCCCAGGGAAAGCCCCCTCGGACCCCACAGTGTCAGATCCTGCTCCCTACCCGGAGGATCTCCAGGTTCTTTGGATATTGCTGATTTCTCTATCCCTCTTAAAAGCCTCTACTCCCTGGCTCTTCGGTGGCAAAGTTAACCAGCAAGGACTTGTGGCTTTCCCCTTCTCTGGGCTTCTAAGGAGAATGCTGTGATCATTCAGCAGATTTTATCCCCACTAAGTGAAGAAGAGCTTGGCTACAGTGGACAGACCAGGTCCACCCACCTAACAGCAGAGCAAACTGTAAATGGAACATGGAGAACGCGCGAAAGGAATTTTAGGGTTTGAGAACTCAGATGCCAGAATGGTATTCACGATGGAGAAGGTGTGGGGCTATTGGGGAATGAAAATACCTTGAGGGTGGGATGGGTACAAATGAGTGCTGTGTGAGCCTCCAGGAAACAGAGCCTGAGTAGATTCTAGTGGCTTTGGTTGTTGATGTCTTTCCTGGTGCTTGTCATCTCCTTGAGACATTAGTGTCCTGATGTGCAGGCACTGTCCCTGGCAATGTCCCTGCCCCTCTCAGGTCTCCCTCCTTTAGACACCCTCAGGGGGTGCCCAGCTGTCCCACCCACAGATCCCTCCCTGTGCTCTTGTCCTTCCTCATGAAGTGGCCACCTCCATGCTGGGACATCAGACTCTAGGCTTCTGACGCATGCCCTTGCCCCTCCTCCTTTTCACCATGGCTGGGGTAGTTCGGCCTGGTGCTTGTTAGAGGCCAGGTCAGGAAGCTGGGCAGCACTCTGTGCTCTCCTTTTCCCAGAAGCCCATATCTCATTCATCAGCAGTTATCAGTGTCACTCAGGCTGCCCCAGCCAGCAGGAAACAAGGCAATGGGTACCCACGCCTCCCTTTACCTGGAGCCCTGTAGGTGGCACCCCTTGGAGGACACAGCAGATGCAGAGGAAGTTCAGAATGTGTCCCAAGCTCTGTTCCTGTGGGCTTCATTGGCAAAGTGTGTCCTGGGATGTGTAAAAGGAACGTGTTACGGGGACGAGTCCTGAGAACATATTCTGTTGCCTGATGCAGCCTTTAGGGTCCCAGAGCAGGGAAGGAAGCAGACAGCTGGGGCTGCCGAGGCATGCGCAGGTGGAAATGCCAGCACAGAAGGTGGCTTTAGATGGCCTTGCTTCCCGCCTTAATGCGCGTGTGACAACTTCCCTTGTGCCACCCATCAGCTCACAGTCCAACCTCAGACAGCAAATTGATGGTGACCACAGCTTCGAGCACAGGAGTTCACTCATGGGAAACCCGCCTCCTCCTGGACCAAATGTTGTGGATGTCCCAGGGTGGTGCTCACAGCACACAGTACACGCAGATTGGCAGGTCAAGGTGTCCGCCCTCACAGTGTCCAAGCGAATAAGAAAGAAGTGACCATAATACGGGATGTGTGAGGCAACTCCCTGGGTTGGGGACCACATTGAATCCCAGAAGAATGAGGACAAGGTTTACTGGTGGAAAAAGTAAATGGCCCCAACACACATGCATGCATAGACCCACGCACCAGCACATACGTGCACATGCACACACTTGTATTCAAAGCGGAGTTCAGGTGGTAACCACAGTTGAGCCAATGATGCAACGAAGGTTTCTGTGAACCCCAGAATTATCATCAGCGTCTCCTCCACCCTCCCATTAAGCCTCAGCCTGACACAGCTCGGCACACAATCAGGCAGCCCCAGTGCAATCCCTGTCTCTGTGCCAGGTTTATGGAGCTGGAGCCAGAGCCAGAGCCAGAGCCGGAGATGCTGCAGAGAATGTGGGGCCATGCGGCTACCTCTCAGCCCCTGGTCTGCAGGCCAGGAAGGCGTGGGCCTCTTGGAAAAGACAGTCCTGACAGAGGACCTGCAAGCATCAGACCTGTGACCACTTCCCTCCTCCTGGCTGAACTCCAGGATCTGCTGGCTACCACATTTTGAGCTTTCTGACCAGGCCTTCCAGCATGGACTCCTGACATTCCCAGGCTCCCGTGTCTGCCGCTTGGATGGGAATGTCACTGGTGGTCACTGCATAACAGTTGGACAAGGAGCTGCTTGTGGCCACCCAGACACACTCATGCTGCACCTCCCCGGGCACTCTTCCCCTCTCGGGAGGACCACAGCGCTGACTCTGTTACAGGGAAGCCTGACGCCCAGACA